TTTGAGGAGTCAAGTAAAAGCAAAAACCAAAATTATAGTTCCAACTTCTCTGTCCTAGAAAACATCACAGAACTCAAATGAAAAGGAAAAAAGAGACAAAAAAAATAAAAACAGAACGTCTCCTCTACCACCTCTACTTGAACCACTGCAAACACAGTTGAGGCTCGTACACATCGGCTCCCTCCTCCCCGCGAGTCACAGTCCGCCTGGCTCTAACTGTCCCTGCCGTGGTGGAGATCTCAGGTTTTATGAGGAGCCCTGTATAAATAATCGCGGCGCTCAAACACTTGCAGCTGTTGGACGACCCTGCCTCCTCCTCTCCTCCTCCTCCTCCTCCTCCTCTCCTTTTTCCTCCTCACGCCTTTGAAAACCAATCCACCTTTTTTCCGTGGGTGAAATCAGGCGCGCCGACTGTTTGCCTTTCCCTGCGACACCTCCACATTGTTGCACTTAATCCTGATTGGGAGAACAGTGCGCGCTTGGACTGAAGCCTGACTCCAATGCAAGAAAAAAAAAAAAAAAGTCTGAATGAGAGGGGGAGTCCAAACTTTTGACTGGTAGTGTGCCTGTGCCTACAGAGGTGGAGAAAGTAGAAAATATTGTACTCAAGTAAGAACACTGTCACTTCAAAGAAAAAAATCTGTTGTGGAAGTACAAAGCAATGGTCTAACAAATAACTCTTGTGTGAGTCAATTTCTGGGTTATACTTTTTGACTACTTTTGGGTTTTTTTGCAGTCTGCTTTTTTTTATTGTTTGTGCATTGCGTAACTGAGGGCCCATCAAATACTTTTCTTCATGGAGATGTTATTTCTATTCTATTATTTCTATTCATAAATACTGAGCTGCTTACTGGTCCTCAAGACCCAATGAGAGTTTTAAAGAGGCCAAAACTAAATATTCGCTTTCAAAACAACAGAGACTCAAATGCAGAGTAAACAACATGATAAATATAGTTAAATGCCAATTGACGTTTTAGCTGCAACATGTCAAACTGCAGATGGATTATTTTGAGTCTAAAGATCAACTATTTGAGTAGCTTTGTCTGACCAGAGCCTCATCAAGTGAGTATTTTAAGAACTCAAAATACGTTCCCTCGCTCCCCACATCTTATAGGTTTGTTTTAAAAGCTGGCAAATCCAAGCAGGTAGAGCATATACATCACAAGTCACAGTGCAATTTGATGAAAGAATCTGTGGAATGTGTTAAACATGGAGAAATCTTGTCTGCTTGAAAAAGGAGATGGCGTTCCCTTTAAGACATACTTCATGCATCAACATCATAGTTCATAATAGTTCACTTTAAGGTCCAGGACCAGTCCGTGACAGGGTCTTGCAGCATGATGAGATCCTGAGATTAGGGACAATCATGGACCCATTTGATCTTTACTTCTGAGTTTAAAGGGGGCGTCGGAAGAGCAGGATGTGGGGTTCTGGTTGGTGGATCATATAGTGAACCCATCCCTGGCTTTGCTGCACACCCAGGTTCCTCCACTCGGATTCAGACATTAGATGAGTTTTGGGGACACGTTTGGCAATATCTTTTGGCAACACAACATGCCAGTACTTGTATCTGTCATTGTCGTATTTGTCAGAATAGTAGATCTGATTGTGTGACATGATGCAGTCAGAAATGTGAAGATTATTCCAATATTTGTCTTCCAAAATGAGCAACGTGTTCGTGTCGCTGTTTCCCTCGGAGAAGTTATTTCTTTGTCTAAAATGTTTCACAGTAAAGCATTAAACCTTTCTATCTCCATGGAGACACAACCAGACCAAGTTCCAGTTCAGATCTGTGGAGAGGCGACCCCACTCACAGTCAGAATGTTGTTTTTCTAGGGATTTTTGAGCTGTAAAACCACCTGTAACTGAAAAAACATAAGATAGATCTGAGTAATGTCACACTGTGGAACATTCCAGGCAGAGCACTGACATTTCCATAGAAACAAGCAGATGACAGACTCCCAAACAAAAAGTTACATGGTCACTTTAAAGGTTCACCAAGTGTGTACAAAGTGACAGAAGTATGAGCAGCGTACATGTTTACATAGTTCTACTTCACATATCTGTGAATATAATTTTCAGTAAATATTTTATTTGACCTAGAATTTCTTCGTTGCCTCTTTATTCTTTTGATCACCCATCATCCTTATGTCTTTCCTTTTTTATTATCTTATTCATTTAGAGAATAAAGAATAGAAAATGTTAGGTTTTTTATTTAATTTTCATTATTTATACTTTACATTATTTTATATTATGTATTTGAATTTCATTATGTAGAATTGCTTTATATTAGAGACATTGATGGAAATTCCTGTGCATGATTATGAGGAAAGAGTTTAAGGAAAATAAAATATATATATATATATATATATATATATATATAATATATATATATAATATAAAAAACAACAAAACACACACACACACAAATCAATGACAGTTCCAATTCATCTGTCCAAATGAAAAGGCAAAAAGAATGACAAAAAACCCAAACTATTGCGAGCACTGTTCAGCCTTGTACATCATTTAGCAAATAAATTATAATTACTTTATATTCTTATTTATTACCTTTGAAAACCAATCCACCTTTATCCCCTGTTGAAATCAGACCTGGAGATTTGATGTTTTCCTTTCCCTCCACATTGCTGCACTTAAAGGATTAAAGGAATGTTATTGTTTTGTCTGGAATGTTTCACAGTGCAGAATTAAACCTTTCTATCTTCATGGAGAAAGTTACAGGTCAGATCTGTGGAGAGGCGACCCCGCTCACAGTCAGAATGTCTGTTTTTCTAGGGATTTTTGAGCTATAAACCCACCTGTACCTGAATAAATGAACATTCCAGACAGAGCTTTGACATCTCCATAGAAACAATCAGGTCAATCAGGTGACGGACCTCCAACCGAAAAGTTACACAGTGCATCTTTAAGCCTGACTGGGAGAAGAGCGCGCGGTTGGACCAAAGCCTGACTTCAGCACTTGCACGTGAGAAGCTCGCTCGAACCGAACCTGAACCTGAGAGTGGAAATGTGTTTACGATTAGAGCGTTTGAAGCGGGCGCTGTTCTGTGGCCTGGTTTGATATGCCCCTGCAGTATTGACACAAAGCTGAGGAACTGTTTGGAGAACCATACCTGCGGCTGGAGATTGATAGATGGAAAAAGCACGGAAGATTGAGATAATAAAGACTTGTTTAAAACCTCACTCCAAGATTACAGTTTTTCCCGCCGGAGCTGGCCGGGCTTCACGAGACGCTGTGGAAAAACCATAGAGCGGGATGACGGGGCGAAGCGGAGCGGCCGGTTCAGAGGCTTGGCGCGGGTTGCGGGTCAGGACAGAACCGAAATGGACGCCTCAGGACATGGAGTTTAAATCTGTCAGAAAGAAACGGTGATGCCCAGAAATAACTCAAGTAGTAATGGTAGGTTTATGTTACAGCACAGATCTCGACTGAGCGAGTACAACAAGAGAGCAAAACAATGTACTCCGCTTTTGTGGGTTCACTTTGTGGGTGTAAAAGGTGCCATTTCCAAAACAGACACACTAAATGATCCAAAAATGGTTTAAAAATCAGGTTACGTTGCTGTTCTCCCAAAAACATGCCCCAAGCAATGTTTCAGGAAACTTAAAAGCCCCATATTATATGATTTTTTTAAATGTATCTCTGTTCTAATGTGGTTTCCTCATCACAAACAGACCTGGAGTTGAGTTTCATTTCATTCACACATGTTTAATACACAAACGTGCACATTTAGGCCGAGTTCCTCTCTTAAACAGAATTGTCACGGCTCCCTTTTCACCTTTTGTTCTGTAGAGATTCGTTTGAAAACTACCATTTCGTGACATCACAAGGTGGAACAGAGCATTTTGTGCTTTGAAGGTGTAAACAAACTAATTATGAAGGATGAAACAAATGAAACACACAACTCCAAGTATGTTTTGATGATGTAACCATTAAAAGATGACTCACAAGGCTCACAAGGACTGGGTATCATTAAGAAGTTGCCGATACGATACATATCTTGGTACATAGGCCATGATACAATACATACCTTGGTACAGTGCACTTTTGGTTTGATACAATATATTTCAAATTGAAATAAAAGCTAAATCATGTCTGTGATACTAAAAATCTTTGTTAAACCACTTCTTGTGCAAAGTTCATATAAAACACAAACATTTTAATCATTAAAACAGTGAAAATGTCAAATGTGTCGCATAAACGAGTTTCCTTCATCTAGACAAACAGCAAAACTGTAGCTGTAACAAAATCATTTTGTAAAATATACCAAAAAATACTCATTGTGTTCTGCTGTATCAACATATCAGCAAATCAATACTGTATCATCACATTAAACAATGTGATATAAAGATATTTTGATATTTTTGCACACCTCTAACCACAAGAGTCCATTTTGTGTAATGTAGGAGCTTTAAAAGATGAGTCTGCCTCTCCAGACCTCAAAATGCTCGGTCACTATTATGTCAGCACGCTCCAGTCCAAGAAGCTCCTCTGTGTGTTTAAAGTTTTCAAGTTTTGTTTAAATTCCCTCCACAACACAGACTAGCAAATTTGACACTATGTACCACTCACTGACTCTGGGAAAAGAAAAAAAAAGTGAGTTTTGGCCTGTGACTCTCTACTGCATAGTTTTAGTGAAATACTGCATAAACTAGACATTTAAGCAACAGAGTACCTTTGAATTTGAAGTAATCATACATCTGTCTACAGAGGTGGTAGAGTGGTAAAAAAAACTGCACTCAAGTAAGAGTACTGTTTCAAAATAATATTACTTTAGTGGAAGTATGAAGTAGTGGTCCAAAAAATTACTCAAGAGTAAAAAGTATTTGGAGAAACTAAACTATCTTGAAGTGAATGTAATTTGAAGGACACAACACTAAATAATGCACAAATTCTCATATTTTCAAAGGAGAAAGAAAAATTAGAAACTAAGTCACATGTGAAGGAGCTGGAAGAAACACAAATGTTCAAATGATAAGGTATGGGATCTGAAAACTACTGTGAGAAGTACAATGTTTACAAAAACATGTTCTCAAACACATTTACTTGTGTAATTTCACTGTGTACCACCCATCTCTGTTTGCCTCACTGTTCACCAACGACTTCCTCTTCCACCTCGTGGTTTGTAAACGACACCTGGAGTAAACCTGTGCTCTGCTCTCAGGTTACAGCCCCTCAGAGCTGGAGGAGCTGGAGGAGCTGGAGGAGGTGGAGGAGGTGGAGGTGGAGGAGGAGGAGGAGGTGGAGGAGCTGGAGGAGCTGGAGGAGGAGGAGTGGAGGTGGAGGAGGTGGAGGAGGTGGAGGAGGGGAGCTGGAGGAGGAGGAGGTGGAGGAGGTGGAGGTGGAGGAGGTGGAGGAGGTGGAGGTGGAGGTGGAGGAGGGAGGAGGGGAGGAGTGGAGGAGGTGAGGAGGAGGTGGAGGAGGTGGAGGTGGAGGAGGTGGGAGGGAGGGAGGAGGAGGTGGAGGAGGTGGAGGTGGAGGAGGTGGAGGAGGAGGTGGAGGAGGTGGAGGAGGTGGAGGAGGTGGAGGAGGTGCACACACGAGAAGCCTCCACCACAGCTGCTGCAGTCACACAGATGCTGCTTCAGGAGCATGTGGGCACAGGAGAACAGCAGGAGCAGCCAACTGAGCCCCAGCACACACCAAGACACCACAGACACACACACACACAGACACACACACCACGACACACACACACCACACACACACACACACACAAGACACACACACCAAGACACACACACACCAAGACACACACCAAGACACACACACCAGACACACACACGACACACACGACACACACACGAGACACACACAAGAGACACACACACCACACACACAAGACACACACACACACACACGAGACACACACCAAGACACACACACCAAGACACACACACCAAGACACACACACACACACACACGAGACACACACGACACACACACCAAGACACACACACACACACACACCGACACACACACGACACACACACACACACAGACACACACACCAAGACACACACACGAGACACACACCAAGACACACACACGAGACACACACACGACACACACACGACACACACACAGACACACACACAGACACACACACGAGACACACACACCACACACAGACACACACACCAAGACACACACACAACACACACACACACAGACACACACACACACGACACCACACAGACACACACACCAAGACACACACACACACACACGACACACACACACACAGACACACACACACGAGACACACACACACACACACAGACACACACACCAAGACACACACACACACACAGACACACACACACACAGACACACACACAGACACACACACGAGACACACACACCACACACCAAGACACACACACGAGACACACACCACACACACACCAAGACACACACACACACACACGACACACACACCAAGACACACACACCAAGACACACACACCAAGACACACACACACACACAGACACACACACAGACACACACACACACACACAAGACACACACACGAGACACACACACACACAGACACACACACACAAGACACACACACCAAGACACACACACCACAGACACACACACACACACAGACACA